CCTCGCCCGCGGGAGCTTCTTGCAGAAGTGACTGTTTTTGTGTTTTTGTTTTGTTTTGTTTTTTTTTGTTTTGTTTTAGATGTGGGTGCTTTCCACTAAAGGATGGAAGAGCCCGCCCCTAAAGCAGGCCTCCTGTCATGGCATTAGAAAAATGAGCTCTCTCTCTAAAGGCTCTCGGAGGAAGGATTTGGCTGAGGCGGGGATGCGATGCTAGCTAGCTAGCTAGCACACTTGGGTTGCTCAGGTGGGGTCCAGGTGATGCAGGAGTCAGCAGGCCCCTCTCAGACCGGGGCCTGTGCGGCTGGAGCATCCCGCTGCAGTAAGATCCACCATTGTGTGAGGTGCCGCCAAAAGCCTGGCAAACTTTGTCACCAGGGGCACCAGCGGGAGTGCAGGCACCTTAAGAGAGGTCCGCGTGCTTCAGAATTGAGAAAGCATGGCTGGAAGGATGGCTCGTTCCCCGCAGTCTCTGATGCAGGCTGCCGCAGGTTTACGTTTTAGTTCCGTTTCTTTGGTCTTGTAGCCTAACTTTAGGAAAGTCCTTATTGTGAATTGTGGAAACAAAGTCACTATAGGAGTAGTAACATTCAGTTACAAGCTTGATTTTGATCGGTTATTGTTAAAGCTAGAACTGTCAAGAGGGGAAAAAAAAATTGCCAAAGTTCAAAGTGTGGATCCAGGAGCTGTAACTTTCCCAGGGTCAAACAGAGAACCAGCCGTGTTGAAATAGCTATCAAAAGTATCGCCCCAAAGTGGAGAGAGTCTCCTTTCAGCCCTGGATTAACTCACTGTGTAGCCAGGCTGAGCAGAGCCTCCAACTCCTTTGGGAATGAGGCGAGGTTTCTGTGACAACTCAGAGGCTTTGTGGACATATAACCACACTGGCCATTCTAGATCTCCTGATCATACTGTCTGCCTTCCTCCTCGAAGAGCTGGAGCATTCCTGGGAGCTACCGCAGATATTTTTGGTTTTGTTTTTGAAAGTTTCAGATACTTAGTTTAAAAGGTCCTCATTAGAAACCCATGTACATTCAACTATCTTTGTTAGGAATATGGATGGATGTCCGCCCTGCACCCCCCCCCCCCCACACACACACTGCTGTTTGGTGGTGGAGGTGACAAGTAATTCAAGTAATGGAATGGGGACTTGATGTCCTGATATAGTGGTGTGGCCTCATACTGGTTGAGGGTAAAAGTTTTTGGCGGATTCGCCGTGTTGAATCAGTGTGTCCTAAGTTCTGTTCGGATCTTGTATAAAGTGAAGTACGCTTCATATAGAAAACGTTGATGGTGGAGACCGATAGAATGAACACAGTCTGGGCCGGACGGTCATTTGGTGCAAAGCATCCTCAGGCCTGTCCACAAAGGCAAAGTGTTACATGACCAAGAGGATGCTAGGTACCTAGCCTGCTGCAGCCCCTTGTTCATTTTGTCAGCTTTTGTTTCTGGGAATTTTCTGCAAAAGGCATTCAGTGTGGTGGCTGGCCTGTGGTTGAAAAGTTCTGTTTCTGTGGTGGTCTGTGGTTCCTAGGACTGCCTTGGGAGCATGGGAAAAGGGTGGAGCAGCTTCTAATTCCAAGTATTTCCAGGGAGGTGTGGGGTTGAGGAAGAACAGCTGTAGTATATTCAGAATCTTGAAAACCACTAGGTAGAGCTCTTGCTGTACACAGCCCTGAAGTGGATTCGGAACATCCCTACCCCAGATGATTTTATTGTCTTGGGCCTTTCTCTGGAATTGATAGAATGTGTTCATCCTGATGTGTCAAGCCACAAACAGGCCCTTCTTCCCTCCTGAGGAGAGTTTAGTGTGGATTGTCAGTGCTCTGTGTGTGTAAGGTAATTTCTGCTTGGGCTAATCCTGCCATCCTAAAGGCCTGTATAAGTTGTTTAGCCCACCCTCTAATGGAGTAGAGCCTTCTCAGGTGACATTGTATGTGTGTGTTCAGTAGGATAGACGGTGGGAGTCTAGTGGGCCATGTTGTCTGGTCCTCACCCACCTCCACCTCACATTCTTTCAGTCCCTACGTCTGCTTTCTTCATCCTCTTCCTAAGACTTCTGAGCTGTCTTTCCCCATACATCATCACCTTCTACATGACCCCTGGGCAGGCGAGCTGCCTTTTTAAACATTAAACTTTTCCTTCCCAGCAACCACATTTTACTTCTGTGTGCATGAAGGTGTCAATTTTAGATATCCCATATAAGTGGAATAATACATTGACCTTTCTGTGATTGGCTCATTTCACTTAAGTAAAATTTTATCCATACTTTAGCTTGTGCCAGCATTTCCATATTTTTAAACCTAATAAAGTTCCATCCTATATATGCCCTTTGTTTTGTTCCACCCTTTGCTGAACCCTTGGTGCCTTTTGGCTATTGTGAATAATGTGGCCATGAACATGAGTATGGATATCTGAGGCTCTGATACAGTCTCAGAAGTAGATTGTTAATTACATTTTAAAGAACCATTATCCTGTTTTTCCACAGTGGCAGTGCAGTACTCCAGGTTTTCAGCTTCTCAACATCCTGACTTTTGGGTGTTTGGTTGTTTTGTGGCAAGAGCCCAGAGCTTTGTGAACAGTAGGCGAGCACTTTATCACTGAGCTGAACTTCTAGCACCAGTTTGCTGTGTTGTCCTTTTGTTAATATTGGGTATGAGGTGGCATTTTATAGTTTTAATTGCATTTCTCTAGTGATAGTGATGTTGAGTATCTTTTCCTGGGTTTATTTGCCGTTGGTGTGTTTTCTTTGGAGAATTTTCTTAAGTTCTTTGCCCACTTTTGAATCTACTTTATATATATGCATTTTATGTATAAATTGTTAAAGTACTTCTGTATCTGGCATTATCATGTAATTTTCTGCATGTTATCATAAATGTTTCCTATTTTAAAATTTTAAAGTTGGGCCAGAGAGATGGCTCAGCGGGTAAAGAAAGGCGCTTGCCACCAAGCCTGATAACCTGAGTTCAATCCCAAATCCCACATGGTAGAAGAAGAGAACTGACTTCTACAAGTTGCCCTTTAACCCCCACATTAGCTGTGGCATTGTATACACACAATAAAGAAATAAATTTAAATAAAATGTAAGTGTCAAGATTTCTTTTTCTTTTTTAAATATCTGATGGTTATGCTTAATGAGTCAGGGCCTTTGAGCATTTAGCTTTTGATATTGTCTGTGTTTTCCATCTGAAAACTGGCTTTCCTCTGATCTACTCAACATGGTACTAGCTTGGTTGTCGAGGAATCTGCTATGGAAAGGCAACATCTGTTGGGAGATGGGCCCTCTGGGGCCTCTTTCTATAGTGCACTGTTGATGTCTCTGGGCAGCACTGGCAGTGCCCGAGGGAGGAGGACCGTCCTAGAACAAGGGTGCTCAGCCTGGAAGAGTTAAGGTCCCTCTTTTCCACTTTGTTCCTTTGCTTTCCTGGTGATAGGGATTGAACCTGGGACACTGCACCTGGTAAGCACATATTCCCACTGTGCTGTAGACAGCACCCATCTCTCGTAGGACAAATAACAAGGACATTATGTAATCTTTGTGTGTCAGTTCGTGTCGATGCCAGTGATAGTCACATAGTCTTAAAGCTTTGATGATGAATTTAATAGCTATGACAACCCATCTAACTGGGCCTATCAAAACACATTCTAAAACCTGTAAAAATGTCTTTTGTTAGGGCCAAGGAGATAACAGGTAAAGTGTTTGCTACCCAAGTATGAACCAAGCTCAGATCCCCAGGCCAACATAAGGCCTGATGTGGTAGCACTTGTCAAGCCCCAGCAGTCCTGTGAGGTGGAAGGCAAAGAGACAAGAGAACCCTGGAAGCTTATGGGCCATCTGACCTGGCAAATGCAGCACCTGACAAAAAGTGGAAGGTGAGGACTGTGTCTCAAGATTGTCCCCTAACCTCTACACTCATGCTGTGGCCCACATGCCAGCACTCACCCTTATCCTAACACACACAAGTGTCTTTGTTATTAGAAATTTTCTATGTCTTTAATTTGGTTCTGTAGATTTTTATTTTGTTTTTTTCTTTTTTTTTTTGCTGTGTAGCCCAGGCTTGCCTCAAACCACTCTTCTGTTTGAGCCTCCCATGTGGCTGAGCTGTCTGAGTGTGGGGGTTGTAAGTGTGCCACTGCCTGGCACAGGTTTTGTTTTAATAGGATTTAATATCTGATTTTTATTTGGATATTAAGTTTTAAATGGCACCTTCTCAAGCTTTGTTTGAAAACTAAAGTGGTTTCTTGGCAGATGTTTCCTTCAAATGAGTTACTTATTGACTGTGTCTGTGCTGGGGGATGAGAACTGGAGCTGTTTATGATTTTTGAGCCCCAGTCACCTGAGATTTCTTACACAACAAAAGTCCCTGGACTTTATGCTAGGTGCTTAATTCCCTAAATAGCTTCTGGAGACGGTGTGCTTTTGAAGTCAGACCTTTGTCAGTGTTCTTAGAATGCCCTGGCTTTGAGGTGTATGAAAAAGCAGGTTTAATTTGGACAAAGACTATCAGTTCTTAGGAGGATTTGTAACAGAAGGAAAAGGAAGAGACACCCCAGCACTCCCGAGTGCTGTCTTTAGCCTTCTGTTGTCTGTCTCTTTTAGTGCTGGCTTTGCTCTCTGCAGATTCTAGACTTCAACTTGTCTAGAATGCCCAGATTTCCTGGATTAGGGTAGCTGAGGCTCACTTTGACAGCAGGTAGGACTGGTAAGTTGTCCTTTGTTGCCATGACAACTGGAAAGGAACACAGGACGCTAGATCCCATCCAATGGCTTGAGACATCACCAACTAAGTTGGTAAACATTTTAGGGGGAGGTTAAGAGGAGTATTCTGGGACAGCCAGGGCTACACAGAGAAACCCTGCCCCCAAAATAAATAAACAAATAAATGAAATAAAGAAGAAGAGAGACATTTCTCTTTGGTTAACTATACTTTATTTAGACCGGGAATTAGCTGGGTTTAAAGGCATGTGCCACCACCACTTAGCTTTAGTGGATATTTTTTAAGTGTATGAGTGTTTTTTGCCAGTATGTATGTATGTGCACCACAGGTGTGTCTGGGGTCTTTGGACGCCAGAAGAGGGTATTGGATCTCCTGGAAGTGGAGTCACACATGATTGTGAATGTCCATGTAAGTTCAGGGAAGCAAACCTCTAGAAGAGCAGTATGCCCTTCCATGCTGCCCAGGCTCACCTTCAACTCCTGGGCAAAAGAGATTTTCCTGAAGCAGCTTCTTGGGCAGCTGGACTGCAGGTGAACACCTGCACACCTGGCTTGTAAACATGTTTATATGTAACTGATAATGCAGGGTTGTTAAGGAAACCTACAGGGATAGAGTATTTCTGTTGACTTTAGGTATTGTTGTATGAAAAGAACTAGCTGATAACTGAAGATAGGTGAGGACAGGGAACATACTACACATACAGGGTGACTGAACAGAAAAACTTTAACAAAGGAGAATCGAGAAACAAAGCCAGTTGACACAAACCCAAAATATCAGGAACCACAGTTTGGAAGGGCTCAGTCTTTCATCTGATAAAGCTCCAGATTAAACAGAAAAGTGGCTTGTAGCCAAATGATCTGCCTATATAAGGCATGTAAGACTGGCAAGTAGATGGGAAACAAGGAGTGGAAAACTCAGCCTATCCAGAGCAACTGCCAGGCTAGACAAACTCCTGGTCGCTGTACTAGATAGAGGAGAAAAGCAGCGAGGTCACTGGATGTCACTGAAAGGATCAATTACTAATGTTAAACTTTCTATGCTTCGTATTATCCTTACTGAGATGCAACTAAACTAACTAGTACCTGCATATGTGTGCACAGCCACACACAATGAAGACAGAAACATATCTCAGAAGGAGAGAGAGAGAGAGAGAGAGAGAGAGAGAGAGAGAGAGAGAGAGAGGGGGTTTGTGTGGCTTGTGACTACCAGCAGCTCAGTGACCAAGAAATAACCAAAGGAGTGAGAATGTCAGGCAGGACATGAACTAGATCACTCTGTGAGGATGTCACATACTTCAATCATCAGAAATGTCTCTGGCATTGCCAGATGTCCCTGGGTGCCAACATTGTCTCCAATTGAGAACTGCTGATACAGAGGATTTAAACAATATGACAAATGAACTAATAAGCATGGACAAAAATTTGTGCCTAATAAACAAAATGTAGATTGTCTTTGTCACATAAACACTTAACAAAATTAGCAGTGTGTTAGGATAAAAAGAAAATTTCAGGTTTCAAAAAAGTAAATCCTAACCAGGAGAGTTGTAAGTTCAAGGCTTGCCTGGGCTACATAGTGAAAACTTGTTGAAAAAACAAAACAAAACAGATCCCTCAGCTGGGAGGCAGAGGCAGGTGGATCTCTGTGAGTTTGAGGCCTGCTTGGTCTGGTCTACAGAGCTAGTTCCAGGGCAGCTAGGGCTTGAAAAAAAAAAAAGAGAGAAGAGAAGAGGAGAAGAGAAGAGAGAAAAGAGAAAAGAAAAGAAGAAAACAGACTCCTCTTTTGAAACGGGGCAGAGAGTCCAGGTATGGTAATGTCTGCCTGTAATTCCAGGTCTAGGAAGTGGAGGCTTCATCAGGGGTTCAAGGTTCTCTTCAGCTATGAGACTCGTTCTCAAAAACAAGTAAACCTGAGCAAGTACTTTCATGAATGAGAGTCTGAGACCACAGTAACAAACCTGGTTTGAACTTTGAAAGGGAAGCCAAAGATTCCTATAGAGAAATTTTAAGTGCACACCTTTAATCCCAGCACTTGGGAGGCAGAGGTAGGTGAATCTCTTCCTTCAGTATATTTCTTGGAATAAAGAGGAGATTCCAAACTATCCCTATCCCGTGAGATGGGACACGCCTTTAATCTTAGCACTCAATAGGCAAAGGCAAGAGGATCTCTGAGTTTGAGGCCAGTTAGAGCTACACAGTTAGACCCAGTCTCAAAAAACAGTTTTCTGACTTACAAATGAATAACTGCATTACACATCCTTGCCTCCAGGATAAAGCAGGGATAGTACTTAGGAGAAACCAAATCCATAAGTACATTTACTAGAAAATAAGAAACTCAGCAGATTAAACTTTCAGCTTAAGATACAAGAAAAGTAAAATTAACCCTAAGAGGGACAAATCTCATGCTTGATAAATTTGATTAAGAAATTAGAGAAAAATAGTTTTAAAAGAGATATGAAGATAGATTGAAGGGGACAAATAAAGAACACATCACATTGGGGCTGGAGAGATGGCCCAGAGGTTAAGGGCACTAGTTGCCCTTCCAGAGGTCCTGAATTCTGTTCCCAGCACCCACATGGGAGCTCACAACTGTAGAGTTCTGTGAACTGGTGAATCCCACTGGCTTCTGCAGGTATCAGGCACACACATGGTGCACTGATGTGCATGCAGGCAAAGCATTCATGTATGAATCATAATAAAAAGGAACACCATTTGCTACTTGATGGTAATGCCTTTGAGGAGCTGTGGGGCATGTATGAAGAAGGCAGAGTCTGAGTTGACCTAGGTAGAGCATCTTGAACAGGCTCCAGGCACAGGTGAGTGAGTTCTATGGAATTAATTGAACAGGTAATTCCTATGTCATACAGACTTAGAAATCACCAAATAATTGACCTCCGCTGTGTACCCAGCATTGCAATAGTGGCTGGGAATGTGGGGATGAATAGAAACAGCTAAAGTTTGTGCCTGGAAGGAAATGAGCTCATCAGTGACTCATCAAAAGTAGTGTTCTATTACAGCTGTGGTAAGGACTGGAGGGGAGGCATGCTTTGCTCAGAATAACTGGTCCAGAGGTCAGGGGTGACTCATGCAATGAGATGAGAGGAGAGTGGGAGTGAAGCTATTTTAGACAGGGTTTCTCTGTGTAACCCTGGTGTCCTGGCACTCACTCTCTAGACCAGGCTGGCCTCACACTCACGAGATCCTCCTGCCTCTGCCTCCCGAGTGCTGGGATTAAAGGTGTGTGCTACTGCTGCCTGGTGTTTCTAGTCTTTTCTACAGTTATGTTCTTGTCTGTAATTCTAAGTGAGCTCCTTTTGTGTCTAAACTATTTTTTTCTAAATCTTTTTCATTGCTTTTTGCTCACAACTTTCATTGTAAGCTTGTCTGAAAGTACCCACCAATAAGCACATGACAGGCTGACTGGGAGTTTCTTCAACAAGGTTCATTAGTCCATCTGCTTTCAATTCAGCCCCACATAAGTCGTCATAGACAAGATGTAGGCAAGTTCTTTGCCAGAATGTACACAAATGGCCTCTAGTCCCACTCTCAATGGAATTCTCATTCCTAGTAGGAACCTTGCAAGCGCACAATATTTACTTTCCACATTCCTGTCAGCCTTCTGGCCTTCGAGGCTCCCTCTGAGACCCAGCTTTGCCTGACTCAGTCAAGACTTTCTAACCCTCATCTTCAAGCTTTCCCAAATTCCTCCCGCTAACAAGTTCCAGGGTCAGGGCTTATGAACCATATGGTGAGGTAGTCATAGTAAAATGCACCAGCTTCTTGGTTCCAGTTCTCTGTCAGGATTTTCATCACTGCAGAAGATACACCACCATACACAGCTAACAAGAGGAAGCATGTATTTTTGACTCACAGTGTCAGAGGTTTCAGTCCATGGTTGACTGCCCTTTGCCTTTAGGCCAATGGCAAGACAAACATGGTAGGACATAACAGAGGATACATGCTCGTCTCATGGCAACCAGTAAGCAGAGAAGCAGGAAAGGATCAAGCTAGCAAAAGCATTTAAATGCATGCCTCCGGGCTCTTACTGCAATAAGGCCCCACTCCTCTAACAAGGCCCCACCTTTTCATAGCCTATTCACTATGAATTCAGTACCCTAGCCATTGGTGAACTCAGTGACCCATCACCCAGCCACTTCTC